CTTGAGCTGAAGAGCTGAGGGACAGTGCCCAGGCCCAGAGTTCAGGCCCCACGACCGGACCCAAAAAAATAAAATAAAGGACATTTTGGTAATTTATATTATCAACTATAGTCAAAATATTATTTCCATATTAAATTTTAAAAATAATGTGATACTCCTTTTTTTTAAATAAAGTCTTCAAAATCTGGAATGTGTTTTACTCTTTCAGCAGAATTAAGTCAGACCAGTTACATTTCACCTTCCCAAGTGCCATATATATCGCTAGTGGCACAAATCTGGATTGACAGCAAAGATATAAATGTTAAAAGATAGACAGGTATTTAAGACCTTAAAGATGCCTAATTATTGCACTAGAAAAATAAATTTAAAATTATAACTTATTATAGCGCAATAGAGTATTTTTCATTCCTTCATCCCCCAATGTATGCTAAAAATGAAAATTCATTATAAGTAACAGAAAAGTAAAGGGTAACAAACATCTTTAAATGCCAAACTTTTACACGAGACAAATAATGGTCAATTCAAAATTTAGTGGGCAATAGCTCCCTTCTGAATTACAATCCATTGCTCTTATACTTGAAACTTACCTCCTTAAATTCATCTCTGCCAATGCCTTTGTATTTATAAAATGAAGAAGAAAAACACATTTACACACAGGGGGAAAAATCTGCCCTATTTCAACATTAAATCTATCACTTATTAACTTTCTTCAAATAGATCTTTGACATTGTATTGAATAATTTCTTCACATCTTTCTGGGGTTGCCACATAAACTTATTTTTTTAATAGCCTCAAAAAAAAAACTATGAAAAAGAAAAGCATTTCTACAAAGAATCTGATATTTTCATGTTTAATTTTTTTTTGGTCGGTCTAGACCTGGGCACTGTCTCTCAGCTCTTCAGCTCAAGGCTAGCACTCTACCACTTAAGCCACAGCACCACCTCTGGTTTTCTGGTAATTAATTGGAGATAAAGAGCCTCACAGACTTTTCTACCTGGGCTGGCTTTGATCACAATCCTCAGATCTCAGCTCCTGAGTAGCTAGGATTACAGGAGTGAGCCACCAACACCCAGCTCATGTTTCAATTCTAATTTCCTAAACATTGCCATTTTTAATCTCCTGAATCAAAAAAGGCAAATAACATAATCATAGCACCATCTACATATGGGGAAGATTAAATCCCAACTAAAAGCATCTAATGGTATGTTACAAGAAGTAATTGTGGCAAATAAGTTTACTTTCCATTTATTATTTACACCTCCTTTATTATAAACCACAATTTTCTCCCAGATCTAATACTGACAAGGTGGTAGGGGAGGAAGAAAGCGTGATGATGGTGTATGGTATTTTTATTTTGTTTTATTTAAATTAGTCCTTTCACTGTGATTGCTCTCAACATAAAAGATGTTGCTCTATTCACCTTTCTCTGTAGGAATCTTTCCTGTGGATCTGGATTTGTAATGGTTTCTTTAATTAAATATACAAAATAACAAACAGGTGATTCAAAATTTGTACACAATACAAGCTCAAATTTTGTAATACTTCTACATAAGAATTAGATTTCTGTAAAATCTCTTTGGTTTTGAACCTGGAATTGAACTTATAGCCTCATGTATATTAATAAATATGCACATAACCACAGAGGTAAAAATTCAACCTCAAATTCTTTTTCCTAAATATCTTTAAACAACTGTAGTTATTTTTCCTTAGTTCACATCTCACATTCAGGAATAAATTGTGAATTGCTTGGGAATATGTTTATCTGTATTCACATATCACCAGCAACTACTTAACATATTCCTATGTATATTTAGTTGTATCGTCATTACTGATTACCAGCATAAAAACAAACTCAACATTGACCTTGGTACCTCTTTTTTTTTTTTTAATTGGCTGGTCCTAGGGCTTGGACTTAGAGCCTTGGCACTGTCCCTTAACTTTTGTGCTCAAGGCTAACACTCTTCCACTTAAGCCAAAGCACCACTTCTAGCTTTTTCTAAATAGTTTATTGGAGATAAGAATCTCAAGGACTTTCTTGCCCAAGCAGGCTTCAAACCACAATCCTGGGCTCTCAGTCTCCTGAGTAGTTAGGATAACAGGCATGAGCCATCAGTACCCAGCTTGATTTTGGTACTTTTAGTACCAAAAGTTTGGTATTATAACTATTTCATCCATGTAAAAACCAATTCAAAATTACAAATCCTTTATACCTTTTAACACTACTGACAGCTGCTTTACTTTGCCTGTCCCAACTTTGTATTCCACTATTTTTTCCCACCCCATACTTCCTTTTGTTCTATTTAGTAAGTCCTATCATCTCTTTTCTCTGAGGACCTATCTGGCTATGAAGGTCTTCACACACTCCACTCTTCAATTTCATCATATACAGAAATGGCATGTAAATTAATTGAAAATAAAAATACAATAGAATGCAAAAAGATAACTAAGATAACGAATGATAATGATTTTTTTTTCTTATCCCCATCCCTGTAAGATTATACTTCATGCCTTACTCATAGAAGATTGGTAAAATGGGAAGGAGAAATGGAGGAGAACATGATTTGTAAAACTGAAACTTCTTTGCTCAGCTACTCCCTTAACAGGAGCTTTAAGGTATTTAAGCTACATGTCTTTTTTTATCTCCTTTTTTCTTTTTCTTTTTTTTTGGTCGGTCATAGGGCCTGAGTGCTGTCCCTGAGCTTTTTTGCACTCTACCACTTTAAGCCAAAGCTTCACTTCTAGCTTTTTGGGTAGTTTAGTGGAGATAAGAGTCTGCCCAGGCAGGCTTTGAATTGCAATCCTCAGATCTCAGTCTCCTGAGTAGCTAGAATTACATGCATGAGCCACTAGTGCCAGGTACTTTTACATCTATCTTAATTCCAGTTTACTCTGGAGAGAGGTAAGGCTCTGGTCCTAAAATGAAATTTGAAGCAAAAATGTACCCAACCTATAGTTTTAGATGAATGTCAATGTGAGCAAGAAATAAAACTCTCTTGATTTTTTTCCCAAAGAAATTCATCTAAATATCCCTATTAAAATGCAAAACTGAGCCAGATGCCTATAATCCCAGCACTTAGAAGGCAGAGGCAAGAAGAGTGGGAAATCAAAGCCAGTCTGAGCTACATAGTGAGACCCTGTTTTATAAATACAGGGGCTAAGGGGGCAAAATCCCAAGTTTGATCCTCAGGTACTACAAAAATAGGCAGACTGTCAGATTGTATTTTTTATTTTTTTTAATTGTAAAAATACCGTACAGAGGGGTTACAATTACATGGGCAAGGTAACAGAGTGTATTTTTTTTTAAGCAAAACCTAAGGCCAGGTGCCTGCTGGTGGTTCATGCCTATAATCCTAGCTACTCAGGAGGCTGCACTCTACGGTTTGCAGTTCGTGTTTTGTTTTTTTGTTTTATTTTTTTTCTGCCAGTCTTGGGGCTTGAACTCAGGGCCTGGGCACTGTCCCTGAGCTTCTTTTGCTCAAAGCTAGCACTCTATCACTTTAGCCACAGTGCCACTTCTAGCTTTTTCTGGCAAGCACTCTACCACTAAGCCACATTCCCAGCTGAGAATTGCAGTTCAAAGTCAGCCTGTGCAGGGAAGCTTGTGAGACTGATCTCCAATTAACTAGTCCCTCCAAAAAAAAAAAAATCCAAAGAACTGTGGCTCAAGTGGTAGAGTATCAGTCTTTTTTTTTTTTTTTGCTTATGTGGTGCTGAGGAATCGAACCCAGGGCCTCAAGCATGCAAGGCAAACGCTCTACCACTGAGCCACCTTCCCAGCCCCTAGAATGTCAGTCTTAAACAAAAAAATCTAAAGTACAATGCCCAGACCTCAAGGTCTAGTCCCAGTACACACACACACACACACACACACACTACAAATTGCAGTCAAGCATGAAGAAACCTGGAGGATACAGGTTTAAACCACACACACACACACACACACACACACACACTCTCTCTCTCTCTCTCTCTCTCTCTCTCTCTCTCTCCAAATTGCAGTCAAGCATGAAGAAACCTGAAGGATACCGGTTTAAACCAGACTAAACCAGACCAGACAAAAAGTGGGATCCATCTCAACTGATAAAGCTGGGCATAGTGGTGTACAACTGTCATCAGTTATGTGGAGAACATAAGGAAGATCACCAAATAAGGAAGATCACCAACCAGGTTTACCGAGGCATGAAGACTCTATCCCCAAAATAACTGAATCAAACAGGATTGGGAGCATAGCTCAAGTAATAGCGTATATACTTTGCAAGTATAAGACCCTGAGTTCAAATCCCGGCACGGCCAAAAAAAATCTCTAAAGCTATCTGATGTGGAAGAAAATTTTAATCTAAGACCAAACTTTTCTCTCAAAAAGGCTTAAATGCAGGGAGTCGGTAGCTCAGGCCTGTAATCCTAGCTACTCAGGAGGCTGAGATCTGAGGATCATGGTTTGAAGCCAGCTCAGGCAGAAAAGGCCATGAGACTCTTATCTCTAATAACCTACTCAGAAAAAGCTGGAAGTGGAGCTGTGGTTCAAGTGGTGGAGTGCTAGCCTTGGGCACAGAGGCTCAGGGACAATGCCCAAGACCTGAGTTCAAGGCCCAGGACTGGCAAAAAAAATACTTAAATATATCTGCTAAGCAATTTTAATAAACAAGAAGCAAAACTAAAAATAAACATTCTTAGCCAGGCACCAGTGGCTCACACCTGTAATCCTAGCTATTCAGGATACTGAGATCTGAGGATGATCATTCAAAGCCAGCCCTGGCAAGAAAATCCATGAGTCTCTTATCTCCAATTAGCACCAGAAAACTGGAAACAGCACTGTGGCTCGAAGTGGTAGAATGTTAGCCTTGAACAAAAAGAGCTCAGGGACGGTGTTTGGGCCCAGAGTTCAAGCCCTATGACCAACAAAGAAATAAACAAAAATTCTTAACAAAAGTATATAAAATCTAGGCTATACTTTGGCTTATATGATAACTGGGGAAAGAATGTCAAGCAGTCTCACTCACCTATTTTGTTCCTCCAGTTTAGCCAGGAGTTCTAAGTCGTCTGGACTCAACTGTGATGGGGAAGCTGGTGAAACAGCTGGTGTGGATGGTGTGGTAGATGAGGATGTAGTGTGTAATGAAGCAGATGGACTTGCCACCTGACTGGCCATCTGACTGACTGTATGCGATACTGTGTTCTTTACCCATGAGAGAGTAGAACTCAACTTCTCTGCAACCTTGTCTGTCGCCACCTAAGGATAAGAATAAAGATAGTACATATATTAATTCTGCTGTATTCATTACCAAAAACTCAATCATCCAGCCAGATGCGGGTGGCTCATGCCTGTAATCCTAGCTACTCAGGAGGTTGAGATGTGAGGATCATGGTTCAAAGCCAGCCCAAGCAGGAAGTCCTTGAGATTCTTATCTCCAATTAACCACCAAAAAGCCAGAAGTGGCACTGTGGCAAGTGGCAGAGCACGCTCCTTAAGCTGAAGAGCTGAGGGACTGCACCAAGGCCCAGTTCAAGACCCATGACTGACAAAAAACAAAAAACAAAAAAACCCTCAATAAACCTGTTAGGTTTTACTTAATAATTATTATCAGCATGTTCTGTTTGAGGTGACAAAGATAAAACTGCTTTAGCATTATCCTAACATACAGGTTTTAGAAACTATTTGTTTCAAATTAGCATATTCATAGCATAAACAACCCGGGATACTTTCCAAATCACAAATTGAAACCCATCAGGAAATAATAAAAAAAAAAACCACCCTAATAGGTTAACACTTCTAAAAATGAAGAGAAGAAATACTGTCTTATGAAATTGTTGTTGAAAATATCTCTCAGGGGCTGAGAAGGTGGCTCAGTGGTAGAGCGCTTACCTTGCATGCTCGAGGCCCTGGGTTCGATTCCTCAGTACCACATAAGCAAAAAGAAAAAAGCCGGAAGTGGCGCTGTGGTTCAAGTGGTAGAGCGCTAGCCTTGAGCTGAAGAGCTGAGGGACAGCGCCCAGGCCCAGAGTTCAGGCCCCATGACCGGGCCCCAAAAAAAAAAAAGAAAAAGAAAATATCTCTCGTGTGTGTGTGCGTGTGTGTGTGTGTGTGTGCGCGCGCGCACAGGTGTGCATGAAAGGGCAGAGTGAGTCTGGGTGTAAAAGTATATCCTTTATTGGAGTTTCATCGGAAAACCAAGGAATTAAAACATCGAATAGATGATCAGGATATGATCAAGTCAACAAGGACGTTCCTGGTATAAATATGATGTAATGAGATCCTTAACAATCTATGCAGCACAAAGATACAAAGCAGTATTTAGGAAATTTATTTGGATAAATAACCCAAAAATGGTTTTTGGATTACTACTCAAATCATTTTTCATATAAGATAATATACTAATACAGGAAGAAAACATTAAAAATCAAGAATCCGGGGCTGGGAAGTTGGCTCAGTGGTAGAGCGCTTGCCTTGCATGCCTGAGGCCCTGGGTTCGATTCCTCAGCACCACATAAGAAAAAAGCCGGAAGTGGCGCTATAGCTCAATTGGTAGAGCGCTAACCTTGAGCTGAAGAGCTGAGGGACAGTGCCCAGGCCCAGAGTTCAGGCCCCACGACCGAACCCAAAAAAAAAAAAAAAAAATCAAGAATCCACACCAGAAGTACCACACCTATAAGTGTAATGAAAATTACCATCACATTACCTCCTTAGACATGTTGGCTGTCACAAATCCCCTGGAGAACTTCATGCACACATGAGAAGCTTCCAAAATATTTTTATTTTGACATGATGTGTCCCTACATTGTCAAGACTGATCTCAAACCTCAGCCTTCCAGGTAGCTAGGACTATGGTATTGCTACCATGCTGTACATGAAATAGAATTCTTTACTTCCTTTGGCTATAATAAATATCTACTTCATTGCCTTTTTTCCCTATAGTTTTAATTTTTGTCAGTTATATGAAGCCAATGACCAAAAAGAAAAAGTTTTAAAATTTTATCTATTTATCTCTCAGTGCAAAAAAGATCCTCAACCTGGCCCACTACAATATACACAACTGTTTTACCTTGAACCATCCCAATATAATAAAAAATACTTAAGTTGGATCATTATCATGACTGCAACTGTAGTCACAACTATTCTATGAGGTAGACTCTACCTCTTCTACTCTATTCTGCTTACTTTCTCAATAGTTAGTAAATACCTTGCAGAATTCACAAACTTTATAGACCATAATAATGACAATTTGCCTTGTGAAGGTTAAAATGTGTTTGACTTTAACTAAGTATCACCTTTCCACAATACGGTGAAATATGTGAAATTTATGTAATCACCTAATTTCAAGTCAAAAAAAAAAAAAGTGAGAGAAGGGATGGGTTCGGAGCAATGGGTGACAATGTTGTCAGACACCTTGTACTCATATACTGTTTTGTAGAATAGGAACTTCTTTGTACAACTATTTAAAGATAATAATAAAAAAAGCAAAAAAAAAGGTATCTTGAGGCGCTGGTGGCTCACGCCTGTAATCCTAGCTACTCAGGAGGCTGAGATCTGAGGATCGAGGTTCAAAGCCAGCCCAGGCAGTAGAGACTGTGAGACTCCTATCTCCAATAAATCACCAGAAAACCGGAAGTGGCGCTGTAGCTCAAGTGGTAGAGCGCTCGCCTTGAGCTGAAGAACTGAGGGACAACACCCAAGCCCAGAGTTCAAGCCCCACGACTGACAAAAAAAAAAAAAAAGAAAAAAAAAGGTATCTTGGTAAGATTTTAAGTACTTATTGTGTCCCAACTGTTCCATAATTCATACAATTTTATATTTTCTCAGTGTATTCAAACATATCCTATATGTTATCAATATTTGGGGGGGGTGAGTAATAGGAATGAACCTAGGGTCTTGTTCCTGCTAGGCAAGCATTCCACCTCTGAGCTACATCCTCATCCCTCAATGTTCTATTTTTAGACGTGTCCTTTCACAGCACTGTAATCTGTTCCATTCTAGACTAGCTGGGACATAACTGTGATCCTTTGGCTCTTTCTTGAGTTGAATCAAATTTTTCCCCCTAAATCAGAAGTCTTCCCTTTTCTCAGTATATTCTCTCATTTTCAGTAAGGTTCCTCTTCTACTGCATCCTCAGAGGGGATGAATCAGACATAAATTTGAGACACAGGTAACTGAAAATGGATTTTTTCATTAAAAGTTTCTGTATTAGAAATAATTTTCCCTCAAATTTGTACTGTTTGTTTTTGTGGGTTTTTTGCCAGTCCTGGGGCTTGAACTCAGGGCCTGGGCACTACTCATGAGCTTCTTTTTGCTCAAGGCTAGCACTCTTACCTCTTGAGCTATAGCTGTATTTCCAGCTTTTTCTGTTTATGTGTTACTAAGGAATGGAACCCAGGGCTTCATGCATGCTAGGCAAGCACTCTACCACTAAACTACCTTCCCAGCCCTTCTACTGTTCTCTATTGTAATTTTAGCTCCTAATACTCTTGTTGAAAAAAGTCTGAAGCCACTTTAATTTTATTATTTAGCCCATTTTCCCTCTGACCTCCAGGAACTTTTCAATCTCTTTGGGCCCCTTGTTGTGAAGATTCAATAAATTCTCTTAATATAAGTCTTTTCTCATCTGATGTGCTTAGCATTCTCATGGACCTTTTTGATTTAGAATCTATGTCCTTCCATCCTGAGAAGTTTTCCACTATATTTTTCTCTCAAATTTTTATCCAACTTCCAATCTTACCTGTCCTCTCAACTTAATGTCTACTTTCCACAAGTACTCATCTTACATAACTTCACTTGCATAACTTCCAGCCCAGGCAGGAATGTTTGTGAAACTCATATCTCCAATTAACTACCAAAACTCTGGAAGTATGGCTGTAGTTGAAATGGAAGCCAGCCTTGAGAGGAAAAAATTTTTAAAGAACACCCAGCCCCAAGTTTAAGCTATAATATAAGTAACAAAAAGTAAAAATCGGCTGGGTACTGGTAGCTCATGCCTGTAATCCTAGCTACTCAGAAGGCTGAGATCCAAGGATACCAGGTAGGAAAGGCAGTAAGACTCATTTCCAATTAGCCACCAGAAAACCAGAAGTAGCACTGTGACTCTTAAGTGGTAGAGCACTAGCCTTGAGCAAAATAACTCAGGGACAGCACCCAGGCCCTGAGTTCAAGTCCTAGGACCAACAAAAAAAACAAAAACACCCTTCTGGAGGAAGGAAAAAAGGTAATGCTTTAAATTTGTTTTAATTTTTTTTATTTATAAAACAAGACAACCCTCAAAAGCTAAAGTTACAATATATGTAATACCACCAAATGCATTTTGACAAACACATTGAAATTTCAGCAGGCTAAACTCAAACTGTGATTCACTCATTTGAGTCTTAATTTCTCAAGGAGAATAGGACAGATTTCTTCAGCTCCTATACACATTTATTTTTGTGAAGATACATACAGAGGGGTTATAGTTACATGAATAACATAATGAGTACATTTCCTATCAAGCATTGCATATATTTATTTTTATAGGTGAGATTCTTTGGAGTCTCTATTTTTCATATATTTGAGCCTTACATCAAGAAGATAATGCAGTAACAATCATTTAGCCAAGAATTCATTTTGAATCTTCTCTGAAAGAACATATATTAGGGGCTGGGAATGTGGTTTAGTGGTAGAGTGCATGCCTAACATGCACGAAGCCCTAGGTTTGATTCCTCAGTACCACATACACAGAAAAACCTGAGAGTGTGGCACTGTGGCTAAAGTGGTAGAGTACCAGCCTTGAGCAAAAGGTCAGGACAGTGCTCAGGCCCTGAGTTCAAGCCCCAAGACAGGCAAAAAAAAAAAAAGAACACATGCTAGGTGCTTTAAAAATGTAGTCAGAAGGCTGGGAAGGTAGCTTAGTGGTAGAGTGCTTGCCTTGCATGCATGAGGCTCAGCACCACATCAGCAGAAAAAGCCAGAAGTGGCACGTGGTTCAAGTGGTAGAATGCTAGCCTTGAGCTGAAGAGCTGAGGGACAGCACCCAGGCCCAGAGTTCAGACCAATGACCAACAAAAAAAATAAAAATAAATAAAAATGTTGTCAGAAACACTATGTTTTGGAGCTAGTTAAGAAGTCAAACAAATAGAAGTCACACACAAATGAGGGAGAAAGAAGAAAGCAAGTATAAAATGAACCTCAGCTTGAGCAACTGGTAGTACCATTTACTGAGACCAGAGAAAATGGTATTTTGTAGTTCCAGTTACTAGAAATAATGGAGA